GTACAGTACAACACTTACTTTCATAATCGTTACTGATCACGAATCTATTTTTCGGGACGGAAACCCTAGAAAATTCTTAATAGACTCCAAAGATCTGCAAAATTAGAAATTATTGGGGAAATTAATATGATGTGCACAGAGGTTCCGAAATTAGGGTTTGTACATCATAAAGCTCGAATAGACAGTTAGATTCCTAACGGAGACAAAGAGGCTCACTAATTACATGCGATTCCGAGAAAGCGACGAATAACAGTGACTGAGGAAAGGAATCTGCAGAAAAGGCAATCAAATGATCTCGAAACCCATGAATCAGAGAAGAAGCATATACGAACGCCGAACGCAAGGATCGTTACCTCTTGCTGATTTTGATGTCGCGTGAGAAAGCAAAATAAAAAATTATCTCGTAGAGAGAGAGAAGGGAGATTGGAGATGGACTGTTGATGTTGTGCTTTTTTGTTGTTTGTGAGAGTGAGAGAGGAAGGAGAAGAGAGAATGAGAGAGCTCAGAGAGGGGAAGTCATATTACAAACGGTGAAGAAGGCGAATCGCGTGAAGAAACGTCAAGCTAAAGCTGCTGATGTGGATTATTTTATTGACATGTCATGTTTCTACTGACTAATTATTTTTGCAGACGTGGACATGCTATATGTTGAGTATATCCACCTTTTAGTAGTGTTAGATNGAGAAGAGAGAATGAGAGAGCTCAGAGAGGGGAAGTCATATTACAAACGGTGAAGAAGGCGAATCGCGTGAAGAAACGTCAAGCTAAAGCTGCTGATGTGGATTATTTTATTGACATGTCATGTTTCTACTGACTAATTATTTTTGCAGACGTGGACATGCTATATGTTGAGTATATCCACCTTTTAGTAGTGTTAGATTAACATCCCTTATTATTCTGATACAAAATTTACATCAATTAAGAAAATGATACTAATAAAACGTTCATGTAACTGTATTTTTATTTAAAGTCAATTTCATAAATGATGGTATTTAATCAAAATTTGCATCACTTAAAACATTTGAACTAGTATAAAAATTAATCTACATAAAAATAGACTCATATATGTAAAATTGTATAAACTGTATAAATTAAATAAATTAACAAAGATGATACGTTACGATCTACTAAAAAGAAAGAACTATTACAAAGGAAAATGAAACAAACCAATAGGTTAAAAATATCTTTTAACTTAAAAAAGTCAGAGATTGTGGAAGTAGTTACTAATTTTTTTGGCTTTAATTTCGTTTTCTGGCTTTAATTTAACTGAATCTTTTTTATACCTGTTCAACTTCAACAAAGCATCTTCTTCTTTATCGTGATCTTCATTCATGGTTCTTCTCTCTCCCTTATTTTCTTAAACTTCTTTTATCAGTTTACAGTTTATTGTTCTAAGCTATTTGATATTTAATTTTTTAAACAAGGATCAAACGTCTTTTTAGAGTCATAATGATCAATTTTGTTTCTTCTTATGCAGGATTCTGAAGAAAACTAAAATTTGCTAGTTAGATGAATCTGATGGGAAATTTCTGGAAAAGTATAATTTTTTCCCTCTTCTTCTCATTCTAATTTCTAATACCTTTTGTTTATGCAAATGATCATTACTTGTTAGGATTGGTAACACCTTGAGTTACGATGTGGACTCAATTTTTTTTTTAAAAAGAGTACAAGTCAGGAACACGACTGCTGGATAATTCTTTTGTGGATCTCGTCAACTTCCATTATGAATCAGTCAGATCTACACTACCAACGGATAGAATGCAAATATGAATAGAGAAAGAGAGGATAGAAGAAAAATCTCTATTAATATTGAAGCAATTCTCATGGCGATTTGTGTTTATCTTCTTGTTCTTTACTTTTTTTTCTTATACGTCATATTGTAACTGAATGAAAAAATATTTTATTGAAGTTATTTTATTTATTCTCATAAAATTATCTATATTACTTGCAATTAAAAATAAAAATAAGTTTTAAATTAATAATTACAAACAATACAATTACGAAAAATATTTTAAATTTGATATTAATTTTATATCAGTTATTAATAAATGATAGAAATAGTTAAAATCAATTGTTTTAATTGATGTCAATGTTTATATCATTTCAAAAGAATGAAGTAAATGTTAATATCATTTCTTGCAACTGATACACATTGACATCACTTACAAAAACTAATGTAATATTTAGTATTTTTTACATCAATTCTTAATAAAATGATGTAAATTATTTGCATCACCATTTTCAGAGTCATTTAAGTAAATGATGCAAAAGTTTTTAACATCATTTATAAGTAATGCAAATATATATAATAAATGATGTAAAACAATCATTTTTTGTAGTGCTCGTTCCACCAACCCACCGAGTGAAGTTGATCGGCTAAGCAGTTTGCGAGATTGCTTCATATTCAAAGTGCTCTTAAATCTTCCTACAAAAGATGTGGTTAAGACTAGTGTATTGTCTATCAAATGGACAACTCTCTGGAAAGATGTACCTGGTCTAGATTTGGACACTGAGGATTTCAATATAGACGAAACATTTGTGAGTTTTGTCGATAAATATCTTGAACACCACCGCGGTTCATCCATACATCTAGATAGACAAAACCGCATGAACATGTAGACCGAATCCTGACGTTGGCTCATTCTAGATGGACGTCAAAAATGGGTACTCAAAGCCGGCTAAAACACGAAGATACGCCCTGCCGTTGGAGTAGACCACGAGCCATGTCTCACAGCCGCATCTGTAAGTGTATACGGCCTCAATGAAATCCATTTCACGGTTGAGTTCGGTAGCCATTGAACAGAAGGAGAGAAGAGATGGAAAGATTGACTGCGAATCCCCAAGCATTGATAATCATCGCCATGTATAGATAATCCTCTCCTTCTCCTACATCAATCTTAGCTTTTTCCATATCCATGATGTCTTGTAAAGCGTAATTTTCCAGTGATATGACAATTTCTGATTTGAGAGATGCGATGAGATTGCACAAAGGTTGAACAAAAGATTTGATATGATTTTGTGCTTCCTTCTTTTGTGTCTTGCATGGCTATATATAATATTTATCTTTTGTATAAAACAAAACAATTGGTACCTATATAATAAACAATTGTTTTAAAAATCACAGAAAGCATTTTTGGAAGCACACTTTTTACCTACAAAAAAATCACCTTTTTATTAGTGGGAATAATATCTCATCAAGCTTCTGATTACATTTCAATTCATTAAGAATAAAAAAACTGAAAAACAAGAAAAAAATCAAGAAAAAACAAGAAAAAAGTAAGAAGAATCTTTTGTTTTTGAAAGACTCTCAAACAATTGTGTGAGACTCTAAAATTAGATGTCAAGTTATCTAAGAATGGAAATGCTGTTATGCTAGAACTGTAATAAATATACATTTGTTTTTAAAAAAAAATAGAGTTTTTGGTCTAGGTTTTCTATTTTATTTTTGTCAACTATTCTTACAAAATCAGTTTAGGTTTAATAATTAATTTCATATAAAATGTTAAACCACCATCTAGCTATTTATTGAACATCCATAGGGGCTAATTGTAACTTCAATCCTCCTCCATTTTCCATTTTAAAATATAGTTCAGAGTAAACATGTTCCAACAATATTCTATTTGTTACACTATAATATAGTAAAAAATAGTTTTACTCTATATATAAAATAAGTTATTTATTTTTGTTTTTCCACTGTAAAATAAAATACCATTGGAGTAAAATTTAATTTAGTTATAGAATTATTCTATTTTTTTTAGGTAAAAAGTAGAGTAAGCAATGAGAGATGGTCTCGGCCCATTATAAGCCCAATAATATCATCGAATTGTGTTGCCAAGGGACCCACCACGATTCAAATCCTAACCGAAAACACTCAACCGCCGCCGGGAAATGTGGACACTCCCGTCTTCATCATCTCCATCAATCCCCAATCTTCATAACCCTTAAACTTGATCTGCGTTCATGGATGAAGAACGTCACCGTTTCAAACGATCAAGCAAATTCGATTTGATAAGCAGCTTACCAGATTGCTTGCTATCTCAGATCCTCTCGAATCTCCCCACCAAAGACGTAGTCAAAACCAGTATCCTATCCACAAGATGGAGAAGCCTCTGGAAACACGTTCCTTTTTTCGATTTAGCAAACTTCTTCGAATTTCCAGACTACACCACGTTCTCAACATTCATCGACACCTTCCTCGAATTCAACACGTGCTTACACACTTTCAAATTAAAATACGATTGCGATGGTGAGACAGATCATCTCAGCCGTTGGATCAACACTCTCGTTAACCGTAAAGTCAAACACATCGACGTTATAGATGACTCGTTAGCAAGCTGGGATTTTCCGTTACCGTCAACGCTTTACACGTGTCAGAGTTTAATCTCTTTAAACCTCTCTGGATTGACTTTACCTAGTCCAACGCTAGTTTCTTTGACTTCTCTCAAGTCTATTTATCTGACTATAGCTAAGTTTGTTGATGAAACGGCGTTGGAGAGGCTTATCTCGCAATGTCCTGTTCTCGAGAGTTTAGGTATCGAGAGGAGTTTTTGCGATGATGTTCAGGTTTTACGTGTGCGGTCTCATTCTTTGTTGAGGTTTTCTCATTTTTCCGACTGTTCTGATGATGTGGATGAGGGGCTTGTGGTTGAGATTGATGCTCCTAAGCTTGAGTTTTTGAGGGTTGGTGATCATCTTGTTGGTAGTTTTGTACTCAAGAATTTAGATTCTCTTGTTGAAGCGGATATTGATACTGTGTTTAGCTTTAATTATGATAAGATTTTCGATCCAAGTGATGTACAAAAGAGGAAGGTGATTCGTGATTTTCTTGTTGGGATCTCTAACGTTAAAGATATGACCATTGCCTCCAGTACTCTTGAGGTAAGTTATGTTGAGTTCATTATTTGAATTTGTTCATTAAACTCTTTCCTTATACTTTGTTTTTTTTTTGTGTGTGTTGTTGTTGTTGTAGGTCATTTATGATTACTCAAGATGTGAAGCACTACCTTTATTCCGTAACCTAACGTTCTTGCGTGTTGAGTTCTACGGATACAGGTGGGAGATGTTGCCTGTCTTTCTTGAGAGATGTCCGAATCTTAAGTCTCTTGTCGTGGTGAGGATTATCTACTTGCTAAATGCAAAATGGTTAAGAGAAGATCATTTCTTGAATTGTGTTGTAATTGTAGGGATCTATTAGAGGTCGGGAGAAGGAAGGAGTTAATATATTGTTGGAATCTCAGTGTTTCCTGTCATCTCTAGAGTATGTTAAGATAGAAAGGCCATTGAAAGGGGAAGTGATGGAGATGAAGCTAGTGAGTTACTTGCTTGAGAACTCGACGATCCTCAAGAAACTTACCTTATTCTTGGATGGTTCAAGAGAGAGAGAAGAATCTGACATTCTCAAAGAACTCCTTACCATTCCAAGACGCTCTAGCTCATGCCAAGTTGTTGTTCTCTGATGATCATCACCAATGGAGCATACAAGTTTCTTTGAGTACTTAGCTAACATATGAATTATTTGTTTGTCTTTATGATGACACTGAAGTGTTTAACTTCGTAAGAGAATCAGGTTGTTGGGTCAAATCAGTATCACTCCATTGTGTCTAGAGACATGCTTTGGAAGTTGTCGAGACATGGCTTAGTGATTCCTTTTGCCAACATTAATAATATGAGAAAACATAGGAGGAGAGAAGAGATGAACAAAACTATAAATTTGGGGACTAAAACGAAAAAATACTAAGAAATTTGCTATACAAAATCTTACAGCCCATTATAAGCCCAACAGTGTAGTTAAAATGAAAAAGACAAAGAAACTTACACGATCAAATACCCGCAGCCAATTATGAATCTAACAGTGTAAAGTAATATATAGATAGGAACTCTATATATTATAAATATTTTAAATAAAAACATGTCCACTCCCAAGTATATAATAGTAAAATAATGTATTTTTAAAAAAAAAAATCAGAAAACATATGATTAAATAATATATTTTTGAAAAATATTGTTGAAACAAAAAGGGTCCCATTAAAACTATATATTAATACCATATATGTATATATATTTTATAGAAGTACAAAAAATCCAATAATTCATTATATTTTTTATTTTATATCTGTAATGGAATTATTCTTATCATTATAATATTTTCTTAATATTTAATTTAATTTTTGAGATTTAGTAAAAATGTATCTAAATTCACATTTAAATTTTATGAAACATATTTTATATACATCAGATAATATGATAACACCAATATAAACGTCAAAATTCAAACAAAAAATTAATGTATGTACACCAAAATAATATATATATTTTTAATAGTAGAAAATTATTTCTAGAAATATAAAAATGTAAAGTGAGACTTTTGGATAAATAACTTTATAAATTATGGAGAGAAAAAAACTTCATAAAATAATAAAATATTTTAATATTAATATTATTAATTTATAGAGGTTAACATAAAATACGTTATAGCTTTGTGTTGACCTAATTCATATTCGTAGGCAATATTGTAGAGAATATAAACTATGAGGTTTCTCTTAGAACTCGCGTCGGAAAATTTACATATCTCATATATACATATTAAGTAAAAATCAATCAAATATCAAGTAAAAATTAATCATATATTCTAAATATAGTAATGTGACTCATATGTATATCTCATATACACATATTAAGAAACAAATCAAAGTTTTAGTATAAATATGTAATTTACAACTAAACAATTTTCTAAGAATCTCAGTTATGGTATTTAAGAAATTTAATTATTCTAAATAAACAGTTTCTTAAAATTCAATATTTGTTTCCAATAATTAGTTAAGAATGCATACAAAATGCATACAAATCTAAAATGTCTATTTTCACAAGACAAAAATGTAGAAAACTACTTTATTTATATTTTATAAGGTAAATTTTCTCAATTTTTTATATAAAAGATGTTTGCTCATACATGCATATTTTTATAAAAAAATTTACGTTATCTAGTGAAAATCATTAATTTTATTAAATTAATATTGGTTTAAACTCTAGAGATATTTTAATTTTTTCTATAAAAATATGCTTGTGTGAGCAAACATCTTTTATATAAAAAAATTGAGAACATTTACCTTATAAAATATAAATAAAGTAGTTTTCTAGATTTTTGTCATGTGAAAATAGACATTTTAGATTTGTATGCATTCTTGACTAATTATTGGAAACAAATATTGTATAAAAACAGATACATATTTATAAAAGCAAAAGAATTTTTTTTTATAGGTTACCTTTTAGAAATGGAACTTAATTTTAAAAGTGAAAAGAGTATTATACTAGATTTTGAACCGCAAAAAATACAAAATTGCGTGGGAAGAACTAATCAGTCACTAGTATATATGTGTGTGCTTTGGTAAAGAAATTTCATGTAGAGATAAAAATCCAACACAACCTATCTCACCTCTAGAGCCAATCTTTAGAAGCCCTTACTTATTCTCCTCTCCTTTTGATTCGATGTTTACGTTCATGGATGCAGCTAGAGTGAAACGTGCTCGTTCCACCAACCCACCAAGTGAAGTTGATCGGCTAAGCAATTTGCCAGATTGCTTGATATTAAAAGTGCTCTTAAATCTTCCTACAAAAGATGTGGTCAAGACAAGTGTGTTATCTACCAGATGGAAAACTCTCTGGAAAGATGTACCTGGTCTGGATTTGGACACCGAGGGTTTCAAAACACCTGATGAATTCAGGAGTTTTGTCGATAACTTTCTTGAACGCAACCGCGGTTCGTCCATACATCGGTTTAAGGTGGCGTACGATTCTTTTTACGTTGAAGAATATGGTATTGTCAATCGCTGGGTCGACACTGCTGCTAAGCTTAAAGTTGAACATCTCGATGTTTCCGACAATTTATCTTTTTGGGCTCCCATGATGAATACGGTTTACACTTGTAGTAGCTTGGTGTCCCTAAGGCTCAAGGGAATGAGCTTACCTAATCCCGAGCGTGTTTCATTACCTTCTCTCAAAGATATTGTTTTAATCATTGTTTATTATACCAACGAATGGGCATTAGAGAAGTTAATCTCACAATGCCCAGTTCTTGAAACCGTTCGTATTGATAGAATTTTTGATGATGGAATACCCATTTTACGTGTGCATTCCCAGTCTCTTTTGAGATTCACGCATTATTGGGAGAAAGATGATGATGACGAGGAAGATCGTATAGTTGAAATTGATGCTCCCATGCTTAAGTATCTGATGATCAGTGATTATGGAACATCGAGTTTCATTATAAAGAACCAGCCTTCCCTTGTCGAAGCTAATATAGATTCTGTGTTTAACTTACCTACTGAAAGGCGGCTACAAGTTGCAAATGAAGTACAAAAGAGAGAGATGGTTCGTGATTTTCTCGTCGGGATCTCTAAGGTCAAGGATATGTGCATCTCCTCAACTACTCTCGAGGTACCTATATATAAATATATATATATATATATATATATATATCTTATACTATAAAGAAATGTTTCCCTCTTCTAAAGGAGCCACGTCAGAAATTCACGTTTTAATAGCTTGCCACGTGTCCAGTTTTACAAGACGCTGCGTTTCATTGAAGGAAATCAGAGATTCTTATGGGCTACGTTAATTTTGTGGGCTTCTGGCTAGGCAGAATGAACCAGCACTAATTATCTTCTAACGCGTCTAATGGTAAATTAGGGTTCATCTAGGCTATTTGTTTTCCGCCATTTGAGAGTTGATGAAGCTGTTCGTAGGATTTCGACCGCGTCGTCTGATCTTATCTCCATCAATCGAAACGTTCTCATGTTACAGATTCGTCTGGATTTCTTCTAAAATCGTTATGGGCGTTGATATGCTTCTACATGACGCCAAGGTAGCTCCGGCGATTTTAGAAAAACAAACCCAACATTTTTCCTTTAAGATTTACAAATCTTATACCATTTGAGTCAAATCTTATATGTAAGATTTGAGCTTGAGTAGATTTAGTATTCACCAATGTTTTAGTTATAATAAAAAATAGATTATTGTATGATAGTCTTAAACAATCTGCAGGATATTACTGAAGAAAACAAATCTCATTCATGTCCAACGGAGTGGCTATTCTGTGTTGATATTGTAAAGAAATTTAAAGAGTCTTCACAGTTTCAGAGCTGCCCAAATGTTTAGAGAATATCAAGATGTCTGGTACCGCCGTACTGGGAGAAAAGCATTGTCTTTAAGTCAATATATTTTGTTTTTGGATCATCTGGAGATTCCTTTGCGCAGAACAGGAATAGAGTTCTTTTGGTTCGATGGAAAATTAGGTCAGAAGTCCAAAGAGTAGGTGCTGAAGGATTCAATGCAACCATCAAAAAACAGTAAGTAAATGGACAACTTTCCGACAAAACTTTGTTTGAATGCAGCATAAAGATAAATATCTTTATGATTTTAAAATGTATCAGGTTCTGCTTATGTCTCTGAAAGCTGAAGTTGAACTGAATCGTACCGCATCTTCACACGTCTTCTTAATGGTACCATTTCTCTTCAACCTTGCGTTTACAATCTTCTTGATTATGAAGAGTTGATGGTTGCTCTGCTTCTTGAAATGCTTATGATCCATCAGTGGAGGAGAAATCGATCATATGAGAATCAATCGTGTAGGGAAGAAAAGAGTGGCATGTGGAAGAAGCTTCACTGTTAAAATAATACTATAAATTGCATTCTCATTGCGTTTCTTGCATCGTAAGTAGTCTATCTCTTAAGTAACATGGTTTGTTTTTGGATGATCCAGTTCAGGTCACTTTCTACACTCCTTGGCGTGGAAATTTAGATAATAGGAAAACAAGAGCTTGCCACGTTTCTCTCTCTAAGGTAGTTTTCTTGCTTTCGTTTGGATTTTTTTGGCTCTAGATTTGTCAGCTTGGTGTTACCTTATTTGGGTGAAGAAACAACCTTGGTTATTGCAGAGGTGGAGCATGCAAAGTTACAATCATCTTACAGTGATAACACTTCTGGCGGTTGGTGTTTTATGGTATTATATCATATATAATTTAATGGCGTTGAGACATTACAGATCACCTTACTCTTTATTTCAGTGAGTTAAATAGAGATTTTCCATACGTTTCTACTAACATTGATAATATAATTGATTCCCAGATGCCAGGGAATTTCAATGTTAAGAGTTCAATCAATGATGCTTCTTCACAAGATCTCATCCAAAAATAAGATCATTAGTGGAGGTTGTACTCGAAACTTATAGACCGGTGGTGACGGACGAAGATATTTTCTGGCAATTCCCGATATAGGAGGAGCTATATTTGGCGTGGAGCAGCATATGATTTGGTGATGATGTCGATTCAGCCTGTGACGAGGAAGAGTCCCAAGAGCTATAGTGGCTCTGTTTTTTAGTAGAGCAAACGAAGTTTTTTCCCTTCTTCCTGAATTGGTTTTAAATAATAGAAGAAAAAGGCTAAGGGAAACCGGAACGTTATGTTATAAGGTAAACCTAATCAATTTTTAACCATCCCAACTTTTACAGTCCTGTACATGTTTTTAACGTCCCAAATTGCATTAGTTTCAGGCTGGACTTCTCGAGAAGCGAGGATGCTCAAACGAACGACAAAACAGAGATATTCAATCCCCAAAGGTTTGCTATTATCTACCTTTTATTTATATTATCAGAGATTTCATATAGTAACTCATTTGTTCTATGTCTTAGCTAACATGGCACAAGTTGAAAAACGCAAGAGTGGAAGGCCGCGTTTCGTATCAGGTATCGTTCCCCGTGATGTATACAAGTTTGTAAATCTACACAAACCAAAATTTGACTAAACTGATTACTACCATTGATCTTCCTCTGTTGCAGGAACATCTTCTCTGACCAGTCCTCTTTATGACGATAACCACCGTCCGTGTCTAAATCTTATATATCTTACACAGGCTAACGCAAACCAGCCCATTCGTCCACGACGATACGTACTGACACTATTCTAGCATCCATTAGCAAGTTCTACCTCTGGAAATTTCTAAAGTCTACACTCTCACTACAAACATGCGCCTCAGACAGAAATACAGAGCATTCACTCAATGGATTTCTGAAAGTAGGTGATGGGGAAGCTGAGACTCACGCTTCGTCTATAAGGAAACATGAGGAAGGTGATGAGATAGTAGCTGACAAACAATTCTTGATATCAAAGACTGAATACCCACACCAAGCATTGGCAGATGCAACTTATCTGGACTTCCTTAATAACTACTGGAAGAAGGATTACTTAAGAGCTAGACGGTGAAGGTGGCGTGACTAATATCGTATACAAGGAGATATTCAGGGACCTCCGTGTAACTCAGGTAAGCAGTGAAAAATTAGTATACGTATACATACCAGGTTTACACTATTTGCGCTTACACCACTGACCAGCACCAATGATTCCAGTGAACAAACAGGTATCCTTCCCTCTCAAGGTTTACTTTAACGGTGAGATGATGTTTGAATAAAGAAACGGGAAGGATTCCTTTCGAGTCACGGAACGTATGATACACTCATCACATTTTTAATTGGCGTACGTCTTGGAATTGTAAGGATTTATATGCCATGATTTTCTAAAAAAACAAAAAGTCTATGAAACTATTTCTAGCCATTTCCGACTTTATTATTCTTCATCAGGCAATATATTTTGGTTTTAATGAAAAACATATGATTTTCTGCGTTACTTAAGTCATTATATAATAAAAATAGCTATCGTATTCATTCCAACCAACACTATAGTTGCCATTACCCATTCCAATTTTTTTTTTTAAATATTAAATTAAATACATTTCTATACGTCTTAAAATTTATACAGATATACGCCGTCGCATAAACATTTATTATGATTTACAAACCTTCATAGCCCAAAGCAATTCGTATACCAATCCACCTTATTATCAGTTATAACCAAATCGATATACATACCTCTTGAAAAAAATTCATGTATTCCACAACTATATGAACATGACAGTGATAACCACTACTATGTACATAGCTATGAGATTTAAAATGGTGACGGAAAAAAAAACATTGTCATGAATTACATATTAGCCTAACTTACACCACAAGCAACTGGAGAAGACAAAAAAAAAATCTCCTTGACTGACAATAACGTAAAACAGGCATGCTCAAAATACCATTTAATTCAATTAATACATACCATTAATATTAATATTTACACACTAAGGAGCTAAAAGGATGTCTCCATTCCAATATCTAGGGATATGTGCACCGTTTGTTTTTACTACAAACAAGTCCAGAAGTTCCTCAAGCTTCTGACAAGCGGCTAATAACCGACTGATCTGCGCTCAAAAAACCGAAACCCAAAAACATAAAAATAACAAAGGCTATACTTTTAAGTCTTCCATATATTAAACCCTATGCAAAACGTCCATTACTCAGCTATACTTAGAAAACAAATTAATAACAGCCCAACAACAATTTACACAACACAGGCCCGTTCGTTATGAACGCCCACACCATTCGAACATTCAATAAAAAAAATAACCAAAAAAAGAAAAACACAAATAAAAATGCACAATCTTTGTGATCGATCATCACATCTTAAAATAAACATTTACAACCGGATTGTTATTACAAAACGCACCATGTCACATCATCCAAACAACATCGTTCGCAAAGAATAAAAAAAAAATCCATAAAATTTGCTTCAGATTAGGAAAACTCAGTCACTAAAAATATATATAATAAAAAACGGGTTGTGATACTCTTCACAAACATAAATATTATATATTTCTCAGCCAACAGAATTATATTATAACAGAGTGGAAGTATGTCAACGTCACTACACAATTACAGGTACAACACTTATAATAGGGCACCAAAACTGTCATTCGTTATAAATCACAATTGAAGTAATACACAATTAACAAATATATAGTTGTCGTAATTACTCGAAGTCAAACATTTTAAAAACCAATTAATTCAAGTAAATAATGAAATTTGTTTATCTCAAATGACAAAATATTATAGAAAAGTATTATTATATGACCCGCAATGACCATATCCCGCGCGTAGCGCGGGCTTCCCCTAGTATATATATATGTGTTTGTTTTAACTTTTAAGTGGTTGTTGGAATATTAAATTTTTCTTGATTTCCAAATTTAAATCAAATATATATTTCTCCCGTTTCAAATAAAATGTATGTTTTGAATTTTCACATATATTTAAAAATCTTAAATTTTAACTATAGATATATTATTTTCTGTTATTAACACAATATTTTTTTTTGAAATTTACAATGTATTCTTATTATCAAACAAAAAATACACTGATCTTACCAGTAGTTGTACGAACAAAAAAAAATTCTCAAAAAAATATAACTTTTTGAAAAACATGGATCAGTTCGAGAGGGCGTTAGTTAATTATTCTCCAATTGCCGATGTAATACTTCATTTATTAACACTAATTAATAAGTTTTTGTTGGTGTTGTTCTTGTAGGTCATTTATGATTACTCAAGATATGTACAACTACCGGTGTTTCGTAACCTATATACCTTGGATGTCAGGTTCGACAGCTACATGTGGGAGATGTTGCCAGTCTTTCTTGAACTCTGTCCGAATCTAAAAACTCTTGTCCTGGTGAGGATTATCTAACAAATTCATGAACTTGATATATAGCTTAAAAGAAAGGTGAGAGTATCTAATGATTCTTAAACTTGTGCCTCGGCTGTATTGTACGTGCAGGGAACTAGTGAAAATTACCATCTGGTTGAACTTACTGTTATTGCCAGGCCTTGGGGTCTGTTATCATCTCTAGAGTATGTTGACATAGAGAGGCCATTGTACGGAGAAGCGTTGGAGATGTCACTAGTGGGTTACTTACTCGAGCACTCACCAAACCTCAAGAAACTATCATTAAGCCTTCATGATTACCTAAAGAAACGAGAATCTGTCCACATGTTAACATTAAGCTTGGATGATGATGCCCCAAAGAAAGAAGAATCTGACATCTTCAGAGAACTCCTTAAATTTCCGAGACTCTCCAGCTCATGCCAAATTGTTGTGTGATAGATGATCCTCATAGATAGTCATCACCAATGGACATGTGAATTTGTCTTGAATATGAACTATTTGTTGCTTCTTTAATTGTTTATTATTACATTGGAGTGTTGAAATTGAGTCAAATAAGTATTTTGCTTTATCGTGGCTAATTTAAAAGCATTCTTTGGAAGTTGTCAAGAGATGTTTTGTGCTTCCTCCGGTTGTCTTGCATGGCCATATATATCTTGGTACCTATATATAATAAACATTTGTTTTAAATATCACAAAATACATTTCTGGAACCACACTTAAACCTCCAAAACTCACGTTTTTATTCGACCTCCAACAAGAAAGAAAATGCTCTTATGCTCGAGCTTTAATACTATATCCATTTTTCGTATTTTTGTGTGACGAAAATTAGGGTTTTTGTCTAGGTTTTCTATTTAAGAAATCGTGAAACTATTTCATATGACAGTTTTTTTATATTTTAATGAACAAAATATTGATTGAACTAAATTTATTAAAACTGAAAGTTGATCTCAAGTCGGCAAAGATAATTCCAAACTGGAATTATCAAATCTCTTAGGTAAAATTCGTATCAAATTAGATAGCATATGATGCCATCACTCAGTTCAACGTACGTGAATTAATTATAGCTCAAATATACACACTTTCGTCATCCACATATTCCATGTGTATTTACAAAAGTCTTATCAAGCAAAAGAAAAGCAAGTCCATATGTCAGAAAATGAAATCTGTAGCCGTTATAAAACAGAGGCTCTCCTCTGTCAGTTCAGAAACCCTATTTTGTCGTGTTGAAGCGGTCATTGTTGACTAATAATGATATGAAACAATAACGTGATTTGTGAGTCAGTAACTGTTAACATAAACCCGAAAAATGTAAACAACATAATCTGATTAGAACCATACAAACCGGGTTTAAGATTGGTTAGCTGGTTACAAATAAACGAATATTTTAAAAGCTGTGTTTGAGCCTTAAGAAAATAAAATTAAAACGACATATGAGATTTGGTTTGGTTGAACCGGTTTTTCCAATTACCTAGTGCTTGAGTTTCCAAGAGTGAGCTCAAGATCATCACAACCACTCTCTTCATGTATCCTCTCTCCTTCCCAAGCCTTCACTAACCCTTCTGTGTTACTCCTCCCAAACGCAAACTCTGGAAGAGGAGGAGGAGGAGCAACAGCTTCAGACATTGGAACATCTCCTGTCTGAATAGGCGCCGGTGAGCAAGTCCCGCTTTGACTTGGCGTCCACATCCTCGACCCACCAGATGCCAACTGATCTTCTTTAAACCCAAAAGGGTTTCTTGAAACAAGACTAAACGTTGGTGAAGCTGGAACGCTTTGTGCTAGTTGAATCCCTGAGAACCATTCAGAGTCAGGAACGGTCTGCTGCTGCCTAGTGGGACTAGGAGGTGTTGAGGAAACAAAGAAAGAGTTGTTGATTTGTTGTTGCCAATTATGATCAGGGGTACGAGATGTTGGAGAGCTTAAAGGAGGGGTTACAGGAGCGCTTATAGAGCCTCCAGGGATGTAGAGGTAATTATTAGGGAGACTCGATGAGGTTGTTGAGAGATGTTTTAGCCATGGGATGAGTGATTGTCCATCTCCAGGGCTCATGAAGTTGGATGAGGCTGGACTAGGAATGTAAGAAGCACATTGACTCGTCGTTGCTGAATTAATCTCCATACGCTCTACTGGTCTACTACTCCCCTGAAAAATTAGGTCACACATATCAAACCCAAAAAATTATTGGATGTATTAAGAACAAATTACTTGCTTTCCAAGTTAGCTAGGTTCTAAGTCCTCACATTAAACCCAAAAAAAAAAAAATCAGTCACACATATATAGCTGATAAAGAAAAAATTATAAAATAAATTTACTTGGTTGAATGTATTAACAACAAGTTACTTGCATTCCAAGTTAGCTAGGTCTAAGTTAGTTTCACACATTTAAAAAAAAAACTCAGTCACACATATATAGCTAATAAAAAAAAATATTATAAAATCTCACACATATATAACTAATCAAAAAAAAATATTATAGAATAAATGTACTTGGTTGAATGTATTAACAACAAGTTACTTGCATTCCAAGTTAGCTAGGTTTAAGTTAGTTTAACACATTAAAAAAAAAAAAAAAAACTCAGTGCTTCTTTGAATCGATCGAGTCAAAGGATACAAGAGCCGACAGATTATCATTGGACTCAGTTCTCGAGACTTGAGAGAGAGACAGTAAAGCAAAAGTACACACATGCTTTTCAAAAATGATCTACAGATCAAAAAACGTACACTTTGAACTTTGTGCAATTTACATTTTTATAAGTAACAGTTTTCCCTAGAGATCTATGCTACTCTATTTCTAGGTATCATGTGAAAGTAGTAGACTAGTCCGACCTGGAGACTCAAAGTGAAATCATACAGTACTGAAATATATAGAGAATCTTCTTTATTAAAAACGTTTGACTAACGCTAACATACGCCGATCAGGTCCAAGAAGCTCCGGCGCATGTTAGTTTTATGATGTTTCCGACAAAAGTAGTAAGTAAGATCCAAAAATAGCGAGAGAGAGAGAGAGAGAGATCGAACCTTGCGGTAAGTAGTGCCATCTTGTTCGACGATCCAACCAGCTTCGTTGCAAAGTGCTTTAAGCACTTCGTTGTTGTCACAATGCTTAGGAAGCTCGTAGTTACCGTACATTCGCAAGCCAGTGAAGATCTTCGCTGCGATAGCTCTACGACGTCTCTCTCTCCTCTTGTTGTTCTCTCTCTCCCTCCACGTCGGCATCCTCGTCCCTGACGTCATCACTTTCCTCTGTGTTTTGAGCTTAATTAAGCTGAACGGAGCAGATCAAGCCAGGATGTTCTGTAAACTAGACTTTGTGTAAGAGAAGAAGATGAAGGAAGGGAAGCTTTTTCTCGTGCCAGAGAAGAAATGGTTAATACTTTCATTACAACTAATAGCGAAAGACTACCCAATTTACCCTTGGTTTGACCATTTATTTACGAAACCGCCACAACATGATGTCACGCGTATCCTCCGGACCTAGCACGTGTGAGCATATATTTTTACCAATTTATTACACCTAGAGGCCCATTACCACGTGCGAGGACTAACGTTTACCCACGGAACGTGATTTAATTCACGGAAATGCCACGGAACCGTTTTCGCTGACATTTGGAGGTTTCCTTTTTCACGTGATGTGTGCGTCCCCGGCGTGACCATGTAGGGCCCATAAAACATTCGCGTAGATACCACTCGCCGCACCGGTGGCGTGATAGATAGTCTCACGTGGCCGCCGTGTTTGTGTCTTAACAGAACCTTCTCTCTCTCTGTTCAAACTGGTTGTTCAAAGCTGTTTCTGTCTATAAACATCAATGATTCAGCAGAGAGACAAAACTTGCCAGATCATCGGCGTTACAGACAACACTAATGTACATTGTAATTAAAAAATGATTAAATCATAGACACAAAGATTTCAAAGGGGATTTGTCTTGAATGTTTAAACATTATAATATATTTGTAAGATGTGAGTTATTTAGATATATGTTGTTACATTTCTCATCCTTATTACAATCTGCAGTTACAAAAAATATAAACAAAGGAAATAATTGGTTACCAATGCGTATCTAAACTGGGAGCTTCAGGGGGAAGTCACAACCTCTTGGCTAAGAGTCTCAATGTTTCAAGTGAGGATTGAATCTTCTCTGAAAGAGCTGTGTAGAGGTATCTCTGAGCAGTTTCGTCTAGCTTTTGGCCAGCAGAAGAGAGAACAGGCCATTTCGTTTCTTGAAGAGGAGACGTTACATGACGAGAGGCTGAGACAGCGGTTTCAACCATCATGGGAAGATCAAATTCGATTGGTTCACCAACAACTACTTTAAGGTTTTTGTTGCACAGTGGTAACGGTGGTCTTCTTCCATAAAAATAGTTTTCCGGCATCATCTAAGTGGTTAGAACAGTGTATGTAAGTGCTCAAGTTTTGGACCATGGTGAAAAGTCTATGGATTATTCTTGACATGAACCTGGAAGAGTTAAGACATGTTTACCTCGTCGAAACCTCGGTGAATGATTGGCAAGACGATCGGGGTAACAGGGGAACGGGCGATGAGACTTGCGGTTCCCCATTTAAGTCGTCTTATAGGAACATCTTCTTGAAACACCTTGCCCTCTGGGAAGGTATGCAACTACTAGTCATGATTAAAACCAAAAAGGTTAGAGTTCAGAAAAGATCTCCTCCACTATTTTTTAAAAATGTGTAAAGATTAACTTACCCAAGATCCATCTTTTAACCGCTCGAGAGCTTCACTCATGTGTTCTTGGTAGATTCCACCACCTCTAGTTATAGGTATACACTTGCCTGCTCAAAGGATATCGTTCACAATCTTAGGAAAAAAACTATTACAGTACTTTCATAGAAGTTACCAGTGCGGAAGATGTAGGAGAAGACAGGGTTCTTGAAACAAATGTCCTCTGCTGCCAGAACCCAACGAGCCAACTTTGGATCAAAGGAAAGGAGACCCTTGAACCCTCCCCACATTACTGGATCATCTAAACTGATTACAACAAACACACACACAAAAGAAGAAGGAACTAGATCAACATCAAAAGTACATGTGAGTGGCAAGAGATGAAAACAAAGAAATATTAAGAAAGGTTTTAACTTCGAAACTAACGTGGACATGTGATTACTAACAGTGATGAGAGGAACACCGGGTGGTCGTGACCGGACAAGAGTCATAAGAGTATCTGCATTGTGAACTGTGGTCTTCTTGCATAGATTAGCTACTGCTCTCGCAAACGCACCAACAGCTCTTATCACAGTTTTCCTTGGGATTCCTCTCAAGTGATCAGATCTTGCTGCCCATTCCATTATCCTCCCCATCTTACACCTCTTCTCAACAAATGTAAACTTCAAAAATTCCTCACCTTCTTACAGATCTTAACAAGAAACTCAATAGACTGATATTAAGAACTTGGAAAGCTACTGGCGTACAGAGCTAGTTCTCGCCCAAAACCAATGCGAAGATTATACAAAATAGGTTTCGTTTCCTAAGCATCGTTCTCTAACCACTAATGGCGTAACGATAGAACTGAACTATAATCAAATCTCTTTACTTAAAAGATCGAACGAAAACGAAGAACACTTACGATTAGAAACGAGACAACGCGATTGATCTTATAAATGTTGTCGGTTGCCTAAAAAGTAGGCAAATAGTTATCTACCACGAATTATTGGGCTTTACTTAGCCCATAACTTAGATACACAAAACGTCTAAGCCCAACACATACCAAGCTTTTATTGGGGGTTTTTTTGACCTGATATATCAAATGTCTAAGCCCAACATAGCTATCTACTAAACTTCGTTGCTGAGGTTTTTATTTGACATCTTTCAACTCAAGTAAAGAATACACTTCACAGGTACAAAGCCATAGACATCATCAGAATGTTACACAAAGTTTACAGATACTAACAGAATTGAAGAAGCATCACTGGTTCAATCGAGTAACCACACGAGAGGATGTTTGATCTTTAGAGAAGGGATCTTTGTTGTGTGAAAATGTAAACCTCGTCGTAACCTCTCCTGCAGAATCCATCATATTTAGATGATGATCCAAAGAAACGTTAAAACACATATACAGTAGAAAAACAAGAATAGAGGATTATGTAAAGATTGCCATAGTGGCGTTACCCTTCGTATCCACAGTACGTAGGCTGGTAATTATAAATGAGATTGCTCAGCACTTTCTCAGGAGGTGGTCTGTTCAGTGACTTCCTAGCTTCACTGCACCACGTTTACAAACTCAATCCGTGAGAATCTGCTGCATATATTTAAGATAGGTCTTCTGCCTATCCATGAGAAACAACTTACATGATCTAATTAACTCTTTCTTATACTGATTCTAATTGTTAAACTACCTTTCCTAATGTAGCAATCATGGTTGATGCACTCTCTTTTCAGTTCTTATCAAACAATGAATAGAGAACTAACCTGACTAGATAATTCGCAGTGAGCTGTGTCACCTGGACCGCGTCCTCAGAGTGTGGAATTTTCGATGATCCCCACTCGAATGCATTTTTCTGCAGAGTATTGTACGGAGCTTTTTCTTTTATAGAAGCTGTACAGCAATAATATATCATAAAATTATAGGATAACGCAATGAACCACAGTGATGGTTCAGCCTAGGCGCGAAATTGACTAAATGAGAGATGTAAATTAGCTTGTGAGTATATACCTCAGGATGCCACTGGAAGCCGGTTACCGGATATGTTTTCGATTGAACGGTTGAAACATAAGCCTGGAATATATACATATATTGGCTCTACGAGGTCAGACTCTAGAATCTAAGATCTGTATGGGTTCTCAGGAGCATAACAATACCTTGCGGTTGCCATCAAGGCATGTTGTGACGATCTTAAAGAAACGAGACAGAGCAATATTGCCTTCAAAGTTGTCTGGCGAGATACCAAACTGGGAAACAATAACAGTTTTCATTTCAGCAAAGGAGGTGGAAGTAACTATTCAAGAAAAAGAAGGCAGAAGGAACAAGACACTTTTCCTAACTGTAGTAGAAATCAATAATGAAAGAGGCGAACAACAATCAACCGTTGTATATAAATATTTCTCTCTATAGAGAAGTCATAGTATAGAATGACCCAGATTAGAGGTTGCAAGTTCTAACCTGATGGTTTTGCATAACCAAACAGTCTGTAGTGAGCTTTTTCAACAACTCTGGGGGAAATCTGCAATGCAAATCATTTGAAATGAATATTTTGTAAAGACTTGGCTTATTAGGAACATATAAACCTCGAAAATCTGTAGGAACCTTTGGAAAACAGTTCCTTGGGTGCTAACGTTTTCAACGAACTGGAGACTTGATGCAGAATTCTTCGCATCAACTTTTTCAAAAATGTCTTTGTTCTGTTACAAAGACAAACGATTAGAGGCATTTAAATGGAGCATACGGATCTCAAATTGTACTATTCTATATTCTTCATACATTTATGAAAGGGATAGCTTAAAGCTCCTCGCTCAGCGTGGTTGAAGGAAGGTTCTAAACTTTCGTTCAAATTATCTACAACTAGAAAATGGATACATCTTTATAGCTAAGAAAACACACATAAATTAACAAACACCTGACTTATGATCATTGTAAGGAGCTCGAATCCTAAGCAAATGGCATAAACGGGAAAGTGCTCTCCACCATCATTTCTTTCCAAAGCTTTCTGTGAGACGATCATAGAGATATCCAGCATTAAAAACACTGCATTGGAAACTATATGGAACATCACTCAAAAGTAATAAAACCAAAACTTGTAAAAGCTTACAGTGAAGATCTTTTCGACGATATCATAATACAATCCTTCTTTAGCCCAACCACCAGTAAATATCACACCATTCACCAACTCCAGCTTCTGCAACTCCAAAATGTTAATCCTCTCCACAAACATGGCGGCAATCTAAAAACCTAACTAGTTTGATCTTTTCATTTGAGCTTAAGATTGAATTAGTAAACCTGAAAGAGAAGCTGTTCGGGTTCGTTATAGATGAGAGGTATCACACGAGCTCCACCAGCTTCAGCTAATTTCACATACGAAGCTGCGATGTACGACGCGTTCGTATCATTGTTCAATCTACCCGTCGCGCCGTCCCCAGGATGTGTCAGAATCCCGATAACCGGCTTGTAGTTCAGGTTCGGATCCGGAGCGGAGCATACCGAACCAACTCCGGTTTGACTAGGAAGGAGAATCGCCATCACGGTGATATCTTTGCACACTACGAGCACGAGCAGTGACCACCATAAGTAACTCCACATCTCAGGATGATCAGATCAAAATGAGAGAAGAAGAAGAATCACACTTTTGATAATCATTGGCGAAAAACCAATATCCACCGTCCACGTGTTTACAGATTTTTAATCATTTGAATTTTAAGAGATCCTCGTACCCTCCTCAAAGCTGGCCCAATTATGTAACGAATCTTTTTACTATATGCCCTTATTTAATGCTACATGGGCTTTCTCTCTAGGCCCATCGCGTTACACTCTGATCCTACTTCAGAGACGTTTTCTCCGCCAACGTCGCCGTGATTTAGGGTTTTAACTACACCGTTTCTCCGATGAACACACCGCCGAAGACGACGAATCTCTCCGTCGTCGAAGCCAGCAAACGAGCTAAGACTGGTGAAAGCTCAGATTCTCTCCCGTTTGATCTGATCGTCGAGATATTCTTGAAACTGTCGACGAAATCTATAGCGAAATGTCGCTGCGTATCGAAGCGATGGGCTACCTACCTTCGCGACCCTTACTTCACGGACTTGTTCTTGACAAGATCTTCCTCTCGCCCGAAGCTATTATTCGCTTGCAACAAGAACGGTTACCTCTACTTCTTCTCCTCACCACAGCCTCAGAATCTGGACAAAAGCTCGTCTCTTTCAGTCACCAATTCCTACCGCGTGAAGATTCCGTATGAGTTTTCGTTGGATGTAACTTTCAGTACAATCAAAGGTTTAGTCTTTCTCAGAATCGAGAGAGGTTTAAAGAGGAGGGAACACGTGTCCTTGATATGTAACCCTAGCACTGGACAGTCGTTTACCTTACCCAAAGTGAAGTCAAGGAGGAAGATTGGAGTAAGAAGCCTTTTCGGGTATGACCCGGTTGAGAAACAGTACAAGGTTCTGTCCATGACCTGGGAGATTTACGGTAATCGATATCAGCTCACAGAGGAGCACCAGGTGTTAACACTAGGAGGAGGTTGGAGAAAGATTGAATGTTCCATAGATCATAATCTGCTTTACATGAATCATTATGTTTGCATCGATGGTGTTCTTTATTATCCAGCGAGGAAGTTTTGGGGGGATGAGGATTATTACATCATCGTTTTCTTTGATGTGAGGTCTGAGAAGTTTAGATGTGTTAAAGACACTGACGGGTACACTAATTTTCGTCGTAGTGCAACTCTGGTGAACTATAATGGTAGGTTAGCTTCTCTTGGGCCTGAAGAAAGTGTTGATGGAAGCTGTACAAGTATTAGGTTGCGTGTTCTTGAAGATGTTGAAAAGCAGGAATGGTCTGAGCATACGTATGTATTGCCTGAGTTGTGGAAGAGTGTAGTTGGACGCACCTTTGTACGCTTTGTTGGAGTGACTCGGAGGAATGAGATTGTCTTGTACTCGTCATACTTACAGTACCTAGTGTACTACAATACCGAGAAGAACACAGTCATTAGAGTCGATATCCAAGGAATGGAAGCAGTTAAGGGTTCTCAGATCTTCACTTTGCAAGATCATATAGAGGATGTGACGCTTATGAAAGTGTAGAGAGCGTGAAGCTTTTGGAAATGTTTCAGTTATGACTTTTATCTTATGAATCGTATCTTCTTATATCAGTCATATGTCTCTCTGTTCGTATATCCTTTTTCAGTTTCTAAAGAAAGATGACAAGTCTTATATAAACAGCACTAAAAGAGAACACATAGCAAGCGAGCGAAAACAATTGGCTTACGAATGTGCAGATTAAAAGGGGTTTTGATCTTGGAAAACTAGGTGAAAATGTAAGCCTCGTCGTTACCGCGCCTGCAAGATCAATGAGAACGATGATCCAATAATAATCGTTTCAAAACATACAGCATAAGTGTAATAAGAAGGATCTGAGCTCAATAGTGGAGTTAGTTGGATTACCCTCTGTATCCAGAGTACGTTAGCTTGTAGTTGTAGATGAGATGGCTTAACACTTCTTCATGAGATGGTCTGTTGAGTGACTTTCTAGCTTCACTACACCAACACTCAGATAGAAAAAAAATTAAGGCAGAGCCGCTAGATCTTCTTACGTACGATGAAAATATAAAATTTACCTGACTAGATAGTTTGCAGCGTGCTGAGTCACCTGGATTGCGTCCTCAGAGTGTGGAATCTCAGATGATCCCCACTCAAATGCATTTTTCTAATAAAAAGTATTTATTTATCTGTAAGGATCTTTCTTAGCAAAGAATCTGTCCATTACTGGATGACACAATAAGTACCTCTGGATGCCACTGGAAGGCTGTCACTGGGTATCTTTTCGATCGAATAGTTGATACATAAGTCTGGAAAAGAAACTATCAGGAACCTGGAATTCGTATAATCATCTCATACCATTGTTTATAGGAAGATACTAATTTAAACTTACCTTACCGTCTTTATCAGCGCTGGTAGTAAGGATGTAAAAAAAACTAGACAGAGAAGGACTGGCTTGAAAGGTATCTGGTGAGATACCAAACTGGAAGTGGAAACAACAACATTTTCATTTCAGTAAATGCAACAACAACAAGTTGTCTAACTAGAAGTATATGTTTCATGTTCTTGCAGAAAACTAGAGGGTTTGAGTGAGATACTAACCTGATGGTTCTGCAAAACCAAACAGTCTGTACTGATTTTCTTCAACAGCTCTGGAGAAAATCTAGCAAATGTTGCAACACTAAAATTTAAATCAATGACTTCGGAATACTGAAAAGTAGAAGCTTTAATTAAGCTAATATACACCTTTGGAAAAGGGTTCCTTCTATATTAGCATTCTCAATGAATTGGAGACTTGATGCATAATACACTGAGTTAAACCTTTCAAGAATGTCTCGTCTCTGACAACACAAACACATGAGAATCGTTAAAAAATGTGTAGAAGACATGGAAGTTAAAAAAAAAGAGTCACACGTGACTAATGATCATTGATAGAATCTCGAAGCCCAAGCACATGGCATACACAGGAAAATGCTCTCCGGCATCATTTTTCTCTATAACTTTCTGTGAGGAATCACAAAGCAAGAGGTCAAATTAAGGAAAAGATGCTGGATCAGCTGACAAAATGTTGAAGAAGGAGAATTTACATTGAAGATCTTTTCGACGATATCATAATACAATCCTTCTTTAGCCCAGCCACCAGTGAATATCACTCCATTGACCAGTTCTAGCTTCTGATATAATTCTCCAAACGTTAATTCAATCAAAATAATGATTAAACTTAGCTTTGGCAAGCAATTAATTTAATTGTAGCATCCAAAAACCTAACTTAATATGAGAAAAGTTCAAGTAATGATCACATCAGAGTGAGACCTGAAACAGCCTTTCATCAGGCTCGTTGTAGATTAACGGTATCACGCGAGCTCCACCTGTCTCCGCTAACTTCACGTACGACGCTGCGATGTACGATACGTTCTTATCGTATCTCATAGAGTGATGATGAGCAGCGTCAAATGTTCCGATTCCGGGATGAGTCAGGATCCCGATGATCGGCTTCTCGTTCAGGTTCGGATCCGGCGCCGAGCATGTACGATCTTCGATTTGACTCGGGAGGAGAATCACCTGAGTCGACTCGGTAGCTTTAGCGATAATGAGATTGTTAGAAAGCAACGAGATTAGGATCGGTATGCAGATTGAGTAACAGCACCTCCTCCACATCTCTCCGATGATGGAAAATTTTGTTACGTTGATGAATGAATGGTTTAGCTTCTTTCTATTAATTTGCATGTCAAAAAAAAAATCAATTATTCTGCTGTATTTTCATATTGGCCTTTCCTTCGCGGTTAGATTAGGCCCATTTATTTCAACTACGGAGGCGTAATTTCATATTGGGCTTTTAAACGAGCCTAATCCGAGGACATTTCTGTGGGGCTCTATAGTGAAGTGGAGACTTCTTATTGCTAGAAAGACGAACAAAGAGACACTGCAACCTTTAAAAGCATCAAATGCCAAATAGATAATGCATCATTAACGGCTAATGATAAGAACATAAGACGACCAGATAAACTAGAAAAATACACAAGTTTCATGATCCGTTCTGGCTAACAAGAATACCATTAACGGCTCAAGAGTTCTTTTCCAATACATAAACGAATTCAAGCATACAAACAGATGACACCAAGTTTCTGAGAAATACAAACAAAAAAAGAGTTTTTAATTTTAGGCTTTCTTGAAGAAAGACATTATGTTCCCTTGCTTTGGATCTTTCACTTTCCCTCCTTTCTTGCTTCCTGTTTTTCCTCCTGCGTTTGCAGCTCCCATGGCCGAGCTCTTTTTCTGTGCAACTGCCCTGAAACAAAACAAAAAATCGTATTGTTTTAACACAAAAGCTAAATTGCTCGTATTAAACATTGGCTTATATCATCTCCAGAAACCTACCTAGCAGCGTTTGCGCTTTTCCCATCATTTAACTTCTTACTTGTATCACTCTCTTCTTTCTTCGTTGCGTTTGTTTCTGACTCCTCCCACACTACCTCGGTTACTATATACGATCAAAAGAGGGTTAAACAAGTGTAGGCTAATTTTGCTACTATGGAAAATGAGATATTAGATGCTTAAGCATGTGAGCGTACCTTCTCTCCCACGCTCATCTATCCGCGTCTTCAACACTTTTTTCCTTTTCGGTGAACTAGGAGCATTACTTATTCTTCCCTTTGAGTGATGATTACCTCCAGCTTCAGAACCATTGCCCTCGATCTTCTCCTCTTTTTTGAGACCGCAAGTATCAGCAGAGGCAGTTTTTTGACACTCTTCTTCGGTGACCTCTTGTTCATCTGGAGCAGATACACGTCCATCAGGCTTCTCCGTACCTGAATCTTTAGTTTCTTCGCTATCTGGACCCGAGTTAGTCTTTGGACTACTAGGAGAGACTAAGCTGATAACATCTTCACACTCTTCATCAGAAAAATCAAATATCACCTTCCTTTTTCTGTTCCTGGTACTGACATCTGGGGACTCATCACCGCTGCCTGCCTTGTTCTTGACATTGTGAGAAGGCATCTGGGCTTCTGCACCAATTACAGAACATTTCAAAGATGAACAAGGCTAACTAAAACAGATACCTAAGGTAGGAATAAATGGCAACTCCACATATGGAAAACTTTGAAGAAACAGAAACTGGAGTGAAGAGATTAGAAAGTAAACCTGAGTGATCGTTGTCTTTGACCTCTATTTTTGCAGAATCATCTGTTTTCACAGGCACACGGCCCCACATATTTTTCAAGGAAGCCCCAGTTCCAGTCACGCTCTTTTCAGCCTGTCCGTTCTTTTTGGTAGCAGGCACAGGAAGGGATTTTTCTTTATCATTGGAGGATTTGACAGACTGATTTTGAGCTGGAGCAGTAATAGTTTCTTTTTTAGCCTGATGGCCAACCTTAGGGATTGAAGGCACAGCACTTTTCGGTTGTGCTGTAGTTCTCACACTTTCAGTTCGCGGGGCTGTAAAATTTGCAGTGTCTCCCTCTATATTACGTTTTACAAAAGAATTGGAGATACCACAAAACCTGGTCCAAAATAAATAAACAAACATCTTCAGTTTCCGTGACAAAGCCGAGTCAACAGTATTGTACAGTTTTCATGTAATAATAGAAGGGTGTATACCTGTTGTCTCTCAAGCAATTATCGGTGGCAAAAGGCTGCCTGAAGAGTTCTTCTGCTTGTACAAACTCACTGTTCCATATGGCTGCTGGCTCCTCTGGAATACTAGCTTGAACACTGTATATAGAAACTGAATGAGTTCCATTGAATTCTTTCTCCACTTCTGCATAGAAACAATGACAGGGTACTTTACACTCACAGATACTGTTTAGTAGCCTATCAGACAGTAGGAAACCAGAAGGATGCTAAAAATATCGAGAGCAATCTGTGATAAATACGGTACTGTTCTTACACAAAAGACAGTAATAGCTTATCAGACAGGTGGAAACCAGAAGGATAAAGCTAAAGGTTCAAGAAACACGGTACTGCTAATTTGCAAAATAATCCTTAAACAGAAGATAGCATGAAAGATAAGCAAGGTTGGAATGTAACCTGCAAGTTTGGCACTAGATACGAGCCTTGTGCGGTGATCGGAAGGTGTGTTCTTTAGCCACCCAGACACAATATATACAACTTCCAAGCCTTTCCCATTTTTCTCAACGAAATCCTTAAGCAAGCTAATAAATAACAAAAGAGTCACAGTTCTTCGACAAAAAAAAAAACATATATTTTACCAGCCAAAATCTAGTGAAGTCAACAATGTTATGTACCTCTTGGCCGTTTTTGATGAAAGGGAGAAATTTCGACTCAGCCATTTGTAAGATACCTGAAGAATTGAATGAAATCAGCAGTCAATATAACCCTAATCGCACACGTTTTACACAACACTATCAATTATCAATGCTCTAATCAATCAATTTTACATAACACCAGATTAGTAAAAACCCCTAAACCAAACACTGATGCAACAACAAATTACAGATAGAAGCTTCAAAATCAACCAATTAAACCCTATATCTACGCAGATGAAACGATTCGGACAAGTTTTGAAATCTAGTGAAGTGGTAATCGGAAGCCCTATTGGATTGAGAAATAATCGGTAGTTACCACTTGAAGCTGATCGGAGATAAGAGACTCGATTTCGTCGAGGAGACTTAGGGTTTCGGTGTGTGTCATCGTTCCGCTCCTCTTTGATTTTTTTTTTTTTTGGTTCAAAGTTCCGCTGCTCTTTGATTTTTTCTCAGATTTGGGAGGTTTTTCTTGGAGGCGATGGCTGTCTTTCCCGCCACATCTTGCGCGGTGACTTTTAAGAGAGAGAGAATAATCGACGATTTGGGCCTGCGGTAGCGAGTTTGCTTGGCCCATTAGCCCATACATATCTAATTTCTATTTCTTTATTATTTGTTTTTTTTTACTATGTTCTTATTTTTTACTATGTTCTTTTTTTTTGTGTAAAATTTATTTTATCTCAAAAGCTTTTGAACAATGGTTGTAGACTTTGATCTAGTAAACTGAAATGCATAAACTAAAACTAGCTGACTGTCACTATCTATTATTAATTTATGTATTATCATACTTCTTCATTTGATGAATGTGACCTTATTGAGAAGGTTTGTTAAAGAGTTAACAAAGGAGGTGTTACTTGTGGACCTGTGGTGTTTTGGAGTGTTTCACACCATATCATCTTTATATGTCTGGTTTCTGATGAAGATAATTAGCAGCAAAAAAAAACTGAATTAAAGACATCACATTACTTAACAACAAAAAAAAAGACATCGCATTACATAGCTTTAAAGCATAGAGTTGATAGAAGCAAGCAATAGAAACAAGAATCTGCAAAGTCTTCTCTGATTTTGAGATGATGAAACTACAGAAACTCAAGAAGAAGAAAGAACTCTATGCGCTTGGTGATAATGGTAGAAGTGGAGCTTAGTAGAGACCTCCATGGTGTATTCTATTTCTGCAGCTGTATTCTCTTGTCCCTTATGGGCAAATCAAGCGGCTTCTGTGCCTCGTGAGGATGGTCTGGGCCTTTGTACACCTTCAGGTGATTGAACAGAGCTCTCCCAAGCTGCCACAAAACAATCATGCCATGTAAATGTGAAAGCTAATAATCAAATATATATACCAAGGAAGTTTATGTATCTAACCCGTCCTTTTGGAAGCATTCCACGAACAGCATGCTCAATGATTCTCTCAGGGATTCTCTGCTGCAACTGATCAAATGTCTCTACTGTCATACCACCAGGTCTTCCTGAATGCCTCCTGTAAAGCTTTTGGTTCCTCTTCTTTCCAGACACAGCTACTTTCTCAGCATTTACCTTAACCAAAACCAGTCAAATAACAAAAGTTAGATGAAACGAATGCTACACTGACAACACATCATATAGAGAGAAAAAATTAAGAATAACATACCACAATCACAAAGGCTCCCATGTCGACACTAGGAGTGTAAGAGGCAAGGTTCTTCCCACGGATGTGGTTAGCAATGGTTGATGCTAATCTACCGAGAATCTTGTCAGTTGCATCGACAACATACCAAGGCTTGTCCGTGTTCACATGGTCTGAAGCCTTTGGATACCATGTTGTGTTCCAAATGTCCTGTAAAAAAACAAAAGCTACACTTCAAAGTCTGTAACTTTAACATAACCCATTCTCAAAAACAAAGCAAGGAAGCAAAAGATCCACACTTTACGAATCAAGACATCAAATTTACAAATCCATTTGCTAAGCTGATGCACTATACAAGCGTTGAAGCTAAACAAAGATTCTTACAGGGCCATTAGCTTCCTCTTCGTCGAACATCCACCGTTGATTCGCCGGAACAAGGGAAGTAGTAGCAGTCGCCTGCTCCTCCGCTTCACACTTCACCTGCAATCCCCTCTTCGCGCAAATGCCAACTCGTACCGATGGTTTAGAGATAGCAGTTAGAGAGAAGCCTAGAAACGGAGACCTTCTGTTACTTCCAGAGGTTTTCACCGAAGAGAGTATAACTGTCGAAGACGAACAGAGAACCGCCATGTTTTTGTGTTTTGTGTTTCTCTCCCCTCTGCTGCTGCTCTCTTTCGATTTTTCTCGGATAAGATTGGGTTTCTTCAGTTAATAACAGTGGTGGCAATAACTGTAAATAAGCTTAGTTTCAGGACTGAGAAATTAATATGGTAAAAACGGGTTAAGGATCCGACTCCTTTGGAGCTCCGGTTCCGACACAAAAACGTTTATTTTAATTTTATTTTTTTAATTTCTCAGGTCTTCTCAAGCAAGCAAAGTGTGAAAATATCATGGCGTCGATTTCGTCAAATCTACTCTTAAATTCTACATCCCTTTCACCTCTGAGATTCCCCAGATTCTCGGGATTTTCTTCTCCCTCTCCACTCTCTAGATCCCACCGATTTTTAAATCGCGGAACTTTATCGCCGGGAATCAGATTCGACGGAGCTATGGCGGCGACTTCGATGCAGGGAGTGGTGACTGAGGCCATGAATTTGATCCAAACGGCGTCGCCGACCTGGAAATCAGCTGTGGCTAATAATGTGTTGATATTCGTTCTCGGGTCACCGCTTCTCGTCACCGGATTATCCACTTCGGGGATCGCCGCGGCGTTTTTGCTGGGTACATTGACTTGGAGGGCTTATGGCTCTGCTGGGTTTCTCTTAGTCGCTGCTTATTTCGTCATTGTAAGTGCAATTTGTAATGCAACTTGATGTTATTTTCTTAGGGATTGTGAATCAGGGTTTCAAAGGTGTAGACTTTACTACTGGTTTTGAAAACGTGTTCAAGTGGCTGAGACGTTGGAGATTCTTTTATGGAGGTGTTTTGTTTATAGGCAGTGTATATTGTCTCTGTAGATTGAAACTTGAGATTAAGGAGCTAAGTCCCCTGATCATGCTCAAAGGCATAGTCTCTATTATTGGTTTTGAAAATTTATTTTAAGTGTTGGAGATTCTTGTAGGAAGAGGTTTTGTAATAGGCAGTGTGTTGTCTCTGTGGATTGGAACTTGAGATTAAGAAGCTAGGTCGTTTAGGGATTGTGAATCAGGTCTCAATGGCATAGTCTTTATTGTTGATTTTGAGAATGTATTGAAGTGTTGGAGACGTTGGACATTCTTGTAGGAAGAACTTTTGTGATAGGCAGTTTATTGTCTCTGTGGATTGAAACTTGAGATTAAGGAGCTGGTCGTATAGGGTTTGTAAATCAGGTTTCAAAGGCAAAAGTCTTGGTTAAATTTTGAGAATATATTGAAGTTTTGGAGATGTTGGAAATTCTTGTAGATAGGACTTTTGTAATAGGCAGTGTATTGTCTCTTCTGTTGACTGAGACTTGAGATTTAAGGAGCTAGGTCGTGTAGGGATTGTGAATCAGGTATCAAAGGCATAGTCTTGATAAGGTTTTCAAAATGTATTAAAGTGTTGAAGACGTTGGACATCCTTGTAGTAGAGCTTTTGTAATAGGCAGGTAGTGTCTCTGTAGATTAAGGAGCATGCTCAACATCGAGATGATTCGTCTCTATTCTGTAAAATTCCCTTTAAAGGTTTTAGATTTTAATATCGCGTTTCACGGACAAAGAGCTGAAAAGAGTAACATTAAGTTAGTTTAGATGATTTACAATGTCACAGGGAACAGCGGCAACAAAGGTTAAGATGTCTGAAAAGGAAGCACAAGGCGTAGCTGAGAAGAAGAAAGGTAGAAGAGGACCACGGAGTGTAATTGGTTCAAGTGCTGCTGGTTGTGTCTGTGCTTTTCTTTCAATATATCAAGTGGGAGGATCAGCTTTTTCTCAGCTTTTCCGCCTTGGTTTCGTTTCCAGTTTCTGCACTAAAGTGTCTGACACCGTCTCCAGCGAGATTGGGAAAGCTTTTGGAAAAACTACGTGAGTATGCTACTCTGATTCAGCTGTTACCTTATTTATAATGGATTGTGTTACTTGAAGCAAGTAGCTAAGATTAGGGTCAGTTTTCTGTTGAATGTGTGTCAATAAACTTGCGATGGCATAGCATGAATCCAACTACTGAAGTGTTCTGCATGCGTTTTGTTCTATTATATTACTAACTGGTGAAAACTTGCAGGTATTTAGCCACAACATTTAAGATAGTACCAAGAGGAACGGAGGGAGCTATGAGTGTTGAAGGAACATTGGCTGGGCTTTTAGCATCATTTTTTCTTGCCTCTGTTGGCTGTTTCCTTGGTCAGGTAGAAGACATTATTTAATATTGTTGTTGAAAGAATCTATATTATTTTGCTAGATGATACTGACAGTTAAAAATCTGCAATCAGAGAAATAAATTTAAGTATCCAACTTTCATTTCATGTGGAAGTCTATGAATCATACTACAGTGCTGATATACATTGAACATTTATCGAGAATCATTTTATAATTGCAAGTTTCTTTTTTCCTTTTGGTCTCTGGAGAACAGATAACTCCTCCAGAAGCAGCTGTATGTGTACTAGCTTCCCAGATTGCCAACCTTGGGGAAAGCATAATAGGTGCATCTTTTCAAGACAAAGAAGGATTCGAATGGGTATATGCTCACTAAACTTCCTTTAATAGCTCTCTCGCTATGTTTAGCTCTATACAATGAAAGAAAATGATACTAAAGATATAGATACCCGTCGCTTTTGGCAGCTAATTGATAGATAACTCATAACTGGTTTAAGTGGATTAGCAGTTTCCGTTTCATAAGACTTTTTGAGTTCTTGTCTTGTTGATGTTCTCCGTTAGCTGTATTTTGTCTTATTGTGGTGCTATTTTTTTGTAGCTAAACAATGATGTGGTGAACGTGATAAACATAAGCTTGGGAAGCATCGTGGCGATATTGATGCAGCAGTTTATACTCCAGAATTGGGTCAAGTAAGAACCTGTGACAGTGGTCTCATGGGGGGTCTCAGTAAGGTTTAGATTTGTGAAGAATCGCATTTGTTCTATGATGTGTAAATACATTATGTTATATAACAATAGTCCACAACATGTTAGAACTCAATTCACCTTTCATAGATTCTCTCCTGTAGTTGAGATAGGAGAACTCAAAATCTCTGGATCACTTCATATAATAACCAAAAAACGTTATTGGTTATAAACACGTAACCCAAAAAAACTGTAAGAAAAAGACAAGAGGCGTTGGTAGACAAAAAGGATGAAGAAAGAGTCGTGATTCTCATGAACATATACTTTTTGTCGTTCTTGGACGACCTTACTTACCTACCCATTTCTTTTTTTTGCCATATTGGTGTATATCATTATTACGTTACATAATAGATAATGTTTCTGGTGACCCAACTTTCAATGTAGAAGACTCTAGAGAGAAAATCATAAGCAATGACTGTGATGTAAGCCAAGAGACTAAAACCGTTACACATCGAGAGTGTTTTAGAAACACGGAAGACCATTTTTTTACTTTGCGTTGCTTCTACGAACCTGTGGTCCATAATTAAAGATACGACAATGGCCCATGGGCCGTTACATACTAACACGCGCTTGCCTAAACGCGTAGAATTGTTACCACCGCAAAGTCTTTCTTTTTCTACCTCAAAGTCAAATCTCCAGCTCACCTCAATACTCGCTTGTGCACTGTAAATTTCTGGTTTCTGCAACTTTTATCATTAAAATTTAACTTTTTACTTAAATGAAGTACTATTAAATACTCACAATATTTTCTCGGTGATTCATCATGCATATATGTACATTCCAGACCGACCCAGAGATGGAAACTATTAGATTTTTAAAATATTCTAATATCCACTATAGAAAATTACTAAAAATAACTAATCTTAGAGACTCTTAAACGACGATGCGCCGTGATCAAGTTCTTCTCCAACTTAGCAAAGTCTGGTGAAAAAAAAATCAAGAGACAAAGATGTGTGTTGTCGTCGTCCAAAATTCAAAGTGATGATGACGTTGTTGTTGTATGGTAACGATTGGTTGACACGCGTCACTACTCTTCTTAAATAACATCAATTTTAATATCCTTTTTATTACTATATTATTATTAATCTCTCTCTCTTCTCTTTGTATATCAGTCTACCAACAGCTATGATCTGAAAAAAATAAAAATAAAAAAGCGTTTTCTCTTCTATAAGCTTTCACAGTTACCCAAAAGTGTTTCTTTCTCTCTTTTAAAATCCCTCTGGAGTAGTATCGTATACGCGTTAGTGAATCATGGCCGTTGATTCTGACCGCCGAGAAGTAATCCTCAAAATCAACGATCCCGATAACAATGGAGTCTCGGGAGAGACGACGGGGAAGATATGGAGAGACGGAAGTTACGATTTCTGGACTGACGGTCACGGCAACCTCCACAAAGGCATTCACGACGGCGAGAGATCCTCCGCCACGGCCTCCGAGGAAGGTAAAGATAACAACGAGCCTCCGTTCGAGTTCCGACGCGGCGAGGATCCTCCGACGAAGCTGATCGGTCAGTTCCTCCACAAACAGCAAGCCTCCGGCGAGATTTCCCTCGATATGGACTTGAGCATGGATGAGCTTCAGTCCAAAGGCTTAACTCCCGTCTCCGAGTCTCCGGCGTCGGCGGGAAGACGAGACAGCCGCGGTGGCGGCGGCGGCGAGGGAGAAGTAGTGAAGTGTAGTGGAACCGCCACCGCCACCGCCGCTACGACGACGCAGAGAAACTCAACGAACTTGCTTAAGATGAGAACTAGGTCACGGCTCTCGGATCCGCCGACGCCGAAGCCGCCGTTACCTCCTCCTCCGACGGAGATGAAGTCAGGGAGGATTCCGAAGTCAGGACAGATGAAATCAGGCTTTTTCGGGAAGAGTCCGAGGAATCAAGGAGGGGAGGAGGAGGAAGATGATCCGTTTGCGGAAGAGGATTTACCTGAAGAGTATAGGAGAGATAAGATTAGTTTATGGATAGTGTTGGAGTGGTTGAGTTTGATTTTGATTATAGCTGCTTTGGTTTGTACGCTCGCGATTCGTTTCTTGCGTGACAAGGTAATCTGGGAGCTGAATCTTTGGAAGTGGGAGACTATGGTGTTGGTTTTGATATGTGGTAGGTTAGTTTCGAGTTGGATTGTGAAGGTTGTTGTGTTCTTTGTTGAGAGGAACTTTCTTTTGAGGAAGAGAGTTTTGTATTTTGTTTACGGAGTGAGAAAGGCGGTGCAGAATTGTTTATGGTTAGGGCTTGTTTTATTAGCGTGGCATTTCTTGTTTGATGAGAAAGTTGCTGAAGCTGCGAATACCAAGGCGCTTCGTGTTGTGACTAAGATTATTGTTTGTTTGTTGGTTGGGTTCTTGTTGTGGCTTGTGAAGACGTTGTTGGTTAAAGTTCTTGCTTCTTCGTTTCATATGAGTACTTACTTCGATAGGATTCAGGAGTCTTTGTTTACTCAGTATGTGATTGAGACTTTGTCGGGTCCTCCTTTGATTGAGATTCAGAGGAATGAGGAGGAAGAGGAGAGGATTAGTGTTGAGGTTAAGAAGTTTCAGAATCCTGGTGGTGGTGTTGAGGTTACTTCAGGGGTTCAGAAGAGTCCGGTGACGGTTGAGAAAAGCCCGTTGTTATCTCGTGTTCTTTCTAGTGGAGGAGGAGATTCGAAAGGGATTACGATTGATAGCTTGCATAAGTTGAATACTAAGAATGTTTCTGCGTGGAAAATGAAGAGGTTGATGAATATAATACGGCATGGATCATTGACTACTTTAGATGAACAGTTGCAAGATCCGAACTTGGAGGATGATAAAGGAAACCAAATCAGGAGTGAGTTTGAGGCTAAGCTCGCTGCAAGAAAGATCTTTCACAATGTAGCCAAGCCTGGATCAAAGTAAGTATTCTCTTTAACATCCAAGGCCTTGACCATATCACATTATTGATATTAACAATTGTACGTGCTCTTATATAGGTTCATCTACCTGAAGGACATATCACGGTTTCTTCCAGAAGACGAAGCTTTGAAGACTTTAAGTCTCTTTGAAGGAGCAACTGAGACAAACCGAATCAGCAAATCATCTCTCAAAAACTGGGTGGTAAGAAGCTTGGATAATGAATTTACAGTCTTTAACATATTCTGATATTAATGAAAATGCACAAACATTCTTCACAGGTGAACGCTTTCAGAGAGAGAAGAGCTCTTGCGTTGACACTAAACGACACCAAAACAGCAGTGAACAGACTTCACAAGATGGTGAACATCGTAGTTGGCATCATCATAATCATTATCTGGCTTATCATTCTTGGAATCACTTCCACCAAATTCCTCGTGGTCATGAGCTCGCAAATCGTGGTTGTAGCATTCATATTTGGAAACATGTGCAAGATAGTATTCGAATCCATCATCTACTTGTTCGTGATACACCCCTTTGATGTAGGCGATAGATGTGAGATCGACGGAGTACAGGTAAATTGAAACAAAACTTGTCAAATTTCGATATTGTATGTAATGTTATAACATAACTCTCTTTGTTTTTTCTCCAGATGGTTGTTGAAGAGATGAACATATTGACAACTGTGTTCTTGAGGTTTGATAACCAGAAAGTTGTGTACCCGAACAGTCTCCTGTGGACCAAATCCATTGGAAACTATTACCGTAGTCCAGATATGGGAGATGGAATCGAATTCTCCATCCACATTACTACTCCAGCTGAGAAGATCATGCTCATCAAGCAGAGAATCACAAGGTACATTACATTTATCAGAAGTTTTATACATGGTTACTTATATACTTATGAAACATGCATTCTCTGGTGATAGTTACATCGAGGGGAAGAAAGACCATTGGTATCCAGCGCCAATGATAGTATTCAAAGACATGGAGTCACTAAACAGTGTGAGGATTGCTGTCTGGCCAACGCACCGAATGAATCATCAAGACATGGGAGAGAAATGGGCTCGAAGATCTCAACTTGTTGAAGAGATAGCCAAGATTTGCAGAGAGCTTGACATTGAGTATCGGTTGTATCCTCTTGACATCAATGTCAGAACTTTGCCTACTCCTACTGGTTTGCCTGTTTCCGACCGTCTCCCACCTCAGTGGACTGCTCCTGGTTCCAGCAGCAAATGAGTCTATAGATGAAACTTCTACAAATAGTTTGGTTCAAGAGTATCTTTGTTCTCTCATTTTTTTGTTCTTGTAACTCTCCGGATATAGAATTTAGCAAAATTATCTACTTGATGATTTCAACATTGTAGTGTAGTATTAGTCTAATTGAAAAATCATGTTTTCTCCATTAATATAACATTGAATCACAAGCTAACTACGGTACACACTACACACCAGATCCAAATCATTTTAGTGCCCTCCACATCTCTCTGTGAGAATGGCTAGAACTGTCGCTGCCGTTTCCCAACCCTCTGGTTAGGGGAAGAACCCGTGTAAGGAGATGAAGAAGCTATGTCCGGAACAAACATTGCTGAGTGGTGGTTAAAATGTTTAGGCCAGTTTAGACCAGAAGCTGTTGGTGGAGAAGGAATCTGTGGAACAGCCCATGATGTCTCACCTCCTATGCAGTTACTGTTATCTTCTCCATCTTCTTCTCCAGACCGCATCATGGAAGAACTGTCTGAATCTCCTCGCCTATTAGTATCCCCCTGCCCCCAAAAAAAAACGGATTTACATCATAAGAAACCAAAAACAAAAGATGATAAATCTTTACTTGTTACACACACTATCATAACTAATTGGTTTACCTTAGATGATCCGTTAATCTCCATGTACTCGTACCTCTGATCAAAGTCGGTTAATCTAAAAATCTCCTCTACTTGCCACTGAGGAATGCTCCCAGCCGCTGATCCACTACTTGCAAAAGGAAGCTTCGTCGAAATGTGATCCACAACCTGCTGCTGATGATGATCAAAGTCCATCTTCTGAGGCTCAGATGTAGGTAAGGTAACAGGCTTTGTCTCATTGGTTTTATCATCATTGGATGGTGAAGGCTTTGTAGAAGGACTAGTGTCCGTAGTAGATTCAAGACCAACTCTGATTCCAGTAAGAAGAAATCTCTGGTGAGCTGAAACATGAGGATTCACTGTGTGGATTGCAACATCACATTTCCTACATAGCAAAGCTCTATCTTCCAAACAAAAGAAGAATCCAGAAGCTTCCTGTCAACAAAACACAGTAACCAAAAATCATTGATCATGGCCTCTCTAAAACCTATAAAGTTCAAAACTTTCTCAAATAATAACACAATCATAGACTCTTACAACCTCTCTCACAACTATAAAGATTGGAAAATTTTGGAGAATAAAGATTTGAAATCAGATCAGAGAGAAATGAGCAGACCTGACAGATGTCGCATTTGGGTATGGAAGAGGAAGAAACAGAGAGAGGGACTCTCTGGTGTTTGCCAGCGAGTTTATTAGCGGCGTGAACTTTCTCATCGCAACTCCAACACAAAGCAGCTTCATCTGCGCAACATAGCACCGCCGCTTCCGCCGCCTCGCACACGTTACACTGTATCTTCATCCTTTTCTTAAGAAGAAGATTCAAATCTCGAGAAAACGAAACGTATCCTTTCGTCCTCTTCTTGAATACTGTCGGAGACTTTATGGTTGAGAGGTTTTTAGGAAAGAGAAGTGGAGCCTGTTCTGTCTTTTTGAGAGGTTTATGGTTTAAGCAACTCTTGTCTGAAAGAGGATCTTTTTGTTTGTGGAAAAGTGAATTTTATTTATTTATAAAATTCTGACTAATCATCTGTTTCATTAGGATTCTATATAAGTCATTAGTGGAAAAATATCTTTTAAATTAATAAAAATATTTGAGGCTCAGATGTAATGTAGGTAGGAGTATTTCATTTTCAATAAAAAAAAGAGGTCTATGTGCACCGTTTATAAGTGGTGGGGTCAAATTGAAAATAAGTGTCTTTAAGGGAAGGAGTGAACCATATGAATACACATAGCAAGTCTAATAACAAGTGTCTTAACTGCAGGAGACCATCTCTGCTGTAAATTGTCAACCATTGCAGAGATTTTTGTTTGCTTTGAGTTGACACCATCTCTCCACCACTTGAATTTTCTTTTGAACTCAAAAATATCCAATTACATAATTACCAAGATTATATTAATACACGTATTGTTACAGGCTGAGAACTGATTAATCAAATCATTAACAAGGTCCCATTTTGACAAAGATCTTACTCAAAAATTAACTATTTGCACGGGAAAAGAGATGCGTCTTATTCTCAACATTTATTTATATTCAAGGGATCATACACATCCACGTTCTTGGTTCAAGAAAGATAGCTACTTCAATTAGAAAACCTGTTTCATGCACCAAGGAATCAACGAATCCAAATCTATAGACAAAGTGGGTCCAGAGTGTATCTCCATGTAAACTTTTATAAACAAATCTAGTACCTTGATCTGATCTGACTAGACCCGTTTAGACAAGAAAACGTTTAAGACCGGCGCATCAGATGATATCTCGATCGTATCACCGAGCTGCACGTTGTAGCGAACCTGGCAACCGTCCATGTAGATGGTTCCGTGGTCTGAATACCAGTTAACATCCATGGATTGATCCGGTTTGAAGGATGAATGCATTTGAGTGGAGGTTGTACCCGGAGAGATGGGCTCTCTAACCATAAACTGTAAATCACGAGACAACATTGGCATCACGAACCCACCTGCTGACAGCATTGCTGCAGTTGAGCCAGCTGCTGTGCAGACTCTTAGGCCGCTCGAGCGGCAGTTCACTGTCTTTGGACGAGTATCACCATCTTTGTTCTTTATCCTGCGCACATTGTAAGACAACATTGGTTCATAGTGGGTGTTTCAACCAAGCTTAATCACTTTTTTTCATTGTAAGAAACTCTTACTTGAAAGAGAACCTTGAAACAGCGGCAGGGCATGGGTGTGCGATCAAAACGTCATTAAGTGCGTGTGAGAGAAGAGGTTCTGAATTTAACTTTACTGATATTCTCGATACTTTCGAAGGAACTACTCTACCATGCAAAATGTCATCGAGTATCTGTAAACAAATAGCTGAATGTTCAAAACTAAAATTGTTCCCTATCAATTAATCTATCGAACTTACTTGTTCAAAGTTCTCAACTGTTGCACCACAAAGATGACCAGTGCTTCTACTAGCGTCAAACTGATCGCTCAGCTCTTCCACCTATAGTTTATAACAAAACACTTAGCTTCTTTTCACATCATTTACTAAAAAGAAACTAATGCCTATCAGGTGATATGAGAGAGCTCAGGATAAAATACCTCGTGGGCTTGTGTTGGGTCAGAATTGACTCCAAGAACCGGAACAGAATCGTCTAAGAAATGACTAGCGTGCAAGAGGGTGCCATCTCCACCAACGGTGATGACCATATCCACATCACGAATGGGATTTGATACGTCATTACGTGAAATGGGTTTCCATTCAACTTGCTTCTTACTTAGTATCTCCTGACAAAAGTTGATAGCATTCCTGTGTACTTTGCACCTGCTTTCTAGATACTTAAGAACCTAAACAACAACAACAACAACAACAGAGTCAATAACAATGTAAAAAGCCATGACAAAAAAAAAACTACAACAATAACAAAGATAGTTTCCAAGTACGTACAAAACCAAAGGCTAAGCCTTTCTTAGTAACTCATTTGCACATATGTGAGTAAACACTGAAAATAACACAGTTATATTCTACCCATTTAGTCTTTAGATAACATATCACACCATTAACAGAGGGGTTCAATGCCCACAAATAAAAATGGAAACTTTTTAGCAATGCGGACAGGAAAGAAGAAAGCTTCGTATTTTTAACATCGACGAGGAAACACCCACAAAGGAAAAGAGAGTTTTTTCCCCCAAGAAATTGAGAAACGTTTCGGTTTTATTCACTTAGGAATTTCGTCGAACACCTTCAATACGAAACAAAAATAGGAGTGGTCGAGCAAGAAAAGTTTAGACACAGTGATGAGGCTAATACCTGAGGGTTTTTGATGAGCGAGGCACCTTCTGATCGAAGGAAAGGATACGGATCAATCGGTTTCAATAGAAGTAGAAGCTTCCTGATCGACATCCTCCTTGAATCAATCTCGTTCTGTTCCTCTCTCTGTCCCTCTATAAATAGCTTTCTGATTCTCTCTTCTTCACTGTTTTATCTCTCTCTAATCGTCGGCGCTGCGCCCACCGGACTGTGGCAAACCACGTCTGAGTGATGAAGATTTTTGATTGTGAGACATTCATGAACCCTCTGATTCTTTAAGAGGCTCTTTGCTTGCCAAAAAAGTTTCCGGCCCCACTAACATTTAACCAAACTGACCTTACTAATACTAAGAACTCGACTCAACTAAAGTGGCCCAATTACTCGGATCCAATACTATAATCCTGAAAAGATGATTTGTGTTTTTTCTTTTGAAAGAGATTGATTATGTGTAGAACCTTTATAAATTAATGTTCGGTAAATTGATAATTTCTATAAATTAATAAATTTTATCTGCCCCAGTTTGGGCTGGTTAAAAAATTGACAGAAATCGATAAAATAATATAATATTTTTTTAAAAATCTATATAAATATATGGTCTCATCAAAACTATAAATTAATAATTTATAGGTAGATATATTATATATAAGTAAAAACCTATCATTATATTGTTTGTTTTATATTCACAATGGAATTATCTTTATATTTTCTTAATTTAATATATTTTGATGAGATTTAGTAATATTATATCTAAAACCACATTATATTCGACGCAACATATATTATATATACCAAGTAATATTATAAAATTAATATAAATGTCAATTTTTTATTAAAAAAAAAATAATTAATGTTTATACACTAAAATCATATATTTTTATTTTAGAATAAATATATTTTAAAATAAGAAATTTAAATAAAGAAACTTTTATAAATTAATATCGCTATAAATTAATTTTGTAAATTAATAATATTTTAAAATTCCAATATTATTTATTTATAGAGGTTTTATTGTATGTTGCTTTTGAATATATAGAAGAGGAATAGTAAATTATCTGTATTGTGAAGACTCATTTTTTTACTAAGAGATTATGACTCGACATTATTACATTCCCAAACCATATACTATATCAGTGTATATTATGGTCTCTTACAACATGTAAGTTTGAGTTTGCTGTGTTTTTTCAATTGATTAAATGTGTATTCAAATATCTGACAAGTTGTTTGTTAAAATGTAATATATAAATTTTGATTTTGAAACGTTTGCTGGAAATCTGTTTTTTTTTCTTTCATATAACATACGGATAATATTAGTAATTTATTGTACCGGAAACATAATAATTTAAAAAACGTACCATGTCCAGTCCTACACTCCTAGCCGGTACTAGTCGGATCAAACTTGGTCCCAACGTCTCGTCTATCAGGAACAATCACTAGTAGGATCAGATCCTCCGAATCGAGTGGGCAGTCCTTTAAAGATTGTCCGGTCTAGAATCTGATCTTGAGGTGGGGTTCGTTTTGATATCGTACCGAACCGGTTCAACTCCACGTGTTTTATTTGGTGATAGTGGTGGTACCACGTATAGTAGTGGCGAACCGAACCTATGAATCTGACCTCGAAATATCCAATTTCACGTGATTCTCTCTGATTTGGCCAAATTTAGTAAGCTACTAGTACGTGATCTTTACTTGAACAACCTAAGACATCTCTTATAGCTTGTCCAAATATATATATAACATTCATGATTTTGAATGCGACAGACAATAAATAATGTTCTAAGATAAGAAAATCACCGAGCATAATGCAGCAAACTATGGTGGATTGTACAAGAGTACACATGATACTTCCTAAGAAACAAAAATAAATGAATATACATTAAAATCAACTAACAAATCAATTAATTGTCATCACTCATCAGCTTGGCCAAACGAAGATGAGACCATGCAGTTTTAGGCTTCATTAAAAATTCCTGACCAGATTAGTCGTCGATCAGTACTGTTTCCCTTGGGATTAGTTGGATACCCATATTAAAATGAATATATACATTTACATAGTATGCAATAATATAATTTTATGAAAAATTCTCTATGATAGAACTAAATTTTTTTTTTTTGACAAAAAACTGCAAAATAAATTACTGTCTTGTAACAAAAAAAAAAAACAATATAACTGTAAACTGTGATAAGATTCGACACACCAAACATCTTACAAGCTAAGTGTAATTGGCTTTAGCGAATTAGAAATAAGAATTGAAAATCTTCGCCTGCCAGAATTTATTCGCCAAACCACTCAGTATTAAGTGTGTTATTCTTTCTATTAGTGGCGAAAATATCTTTTTGTTCTGGTTCTTATGCTATGTTCAAGCGTTTAGACTAATTAGTAAGGTAACCCCTATATAAGAATCTCACGTCAAATTATATTTGATTTAGTTCGTAGTGCTTGTGAATGATCTGTCCGATAAAAATCTTCAGAAGCTGGCAAGCAATATCATCTTTTTGTTTTGTTTTTGTTTTTGGTAGAAAAGGAGGCGAAATAAAGTTGTAAG